CATTTTTTGTATGCTGATATTTTTTGCTAATAATAATAGCATATTATATAAGCTTGGGTGGTGTTATTGCCACAGCTTCAAAGGTTAATACCACAGCTTTTTTAATTAATTGACCATTAACCCACGCGGAGAAGGTGATGACTGCTGCAAGTTGGATTCAAAATGAGGGGTATAATAGTCAAATAACTAAAAAAAGCTGTGGCATTAACATTAGTGGCTGTGGCAATAACCCCACCCTATAAGCTTAAACAAGTACAACTGTTCTTGGAAATAAATTCTCTATAGTATCCGAGTACAAAATATGACCAAAATCAAGAGCACAGTTGTCGAGCTTGTTCACATACTATCAAGTTAGCCGCCGATCCCAGCAGTGACAAGTTCCCGGCAATGGTGCTGACCCAAGCTAAAATGAGCCATGCTTTCTTCTCATAAGCCGAAGAGATCGCAGCAGCTGATGCCGCCACCCGCCCTCCGAGAAAGAGAACTGGAGTAACATAAAGCAGCTAGTAAGTTTGATGTGCTTATCATACTAATGCAGTTATATAATTAGGTATGTTCAAGTGAAAAGCATTAAACACAGCCGTTGGTACATTTGAGGCCAAATTTGAGAGGACTAGTATGACAATAGCAAGAACTGCCACCCCAGAAACATGGTTAACCTTTGAATATCGTTCCATTGAGTCCCAAAAACTGCTTGGAATTCCAGTTTTGTTGAAACCATTGACAGTAATAAACATTCCACAGAAGAAAACTAAAAGTGAATAAGATACCTGAACAGAGAAAGGGAAAAAGAAATCATCACTTCCATATTCAAAACATATGATATAATCTTCAATGGGAATGGTATTATTATATACTGTAGAATTTACCTTTTCTAGGCAAGGTCCAGCATCCTTAAAATCAAGAACCATAAGGAAGAGTGCAGCAGTAATAGCTGTCCAGGACATGTTGAGACCCATAAGCAAAGCAACCAACATGCTAATTGTAAAGAGGTAAACACAGACTTTCCACAAAATCTTTTTCCATTTTGGAGGCAATGCCTCTCTCAATCTATCCATCGATGTAATCTTCTTTGGAGGTGCAGTTCCCTTCTTTTGGGGGGTAAATACATCATTTTCCTCTTCTTTTGAAGCATTTGGGCTCTTTCCAGACCCAAATCCGCTGCTAGATGCCTTCTGGATTTCACAAGGCGGAGTTCCCTTCATATTAGGAAAGCTTCGCACGGCTGCTGCAGCTGCCAATCTGGAGTTCCATTCTGGAGAGTGATGATGTGATAATGTTGCTGGTGAAAATCGATGAGAAGCATTATCCTCATCTCCAACCACTTCGGCTGTGGCATCCTCTTCATCCCTCTGAACAGTCAACACCATCCAATACATACATATAAGAAGTAAAACATTCACAACTATTCCCATGAGCATAGCGGGGAGAATTCTCAAAACAAATTCCCCAAAATGAATTTTACTTTGAATAGCTATAACCAAGTTTTGAGGATTTCCAATTGGAGTTGTTGCAGACCCTATATTTGCACTAGAGGCTAGAGCAATCAGGAAAGGGTGGGGAGGAAGATTATGTTGCCTTGCAACTTTGAGTACAAATTCAGTAAGAACTACACAAACGGTGTCATTGGTGAAAAAGGCACTTGATATTGCAGCAATCACACAGATTCGACAAATCAAGTCCTTAGCTCCTTTACTATTCCATGCAAGCAGCTTCCCTAAATACTTGAACATATCTGCCCTTTCAAGATAGGCCGTGACAACCATGGTTGCAAACAAAAGGCCCAGGATTGGGAGATCAATTGCAGCATAAGCTTGATCTGGAGTTATAACCCCAAATAGGACCATAAGCATGGCCCCTAGTAGGGACCCTGCAGTCCTCCCAATGGGTAGAAAGGGGACAGAAGGGAAAACTGCGATTACCCAAAAGATTCCAAAGGCAATTGAGCCTAGAACCACTTTGCTAACAGAAGCCATTACCATTTTGGAAACTAAATAGTATAGCACCTCTTGCTTGATTTCTTAGGCGCAAAAATTTTACTTCAGCTTCCTGGCCAAAATAATGAACATTTCAGGTAAAATGAATATGTAAATCAAGTAAATTTTAATTTTACCCTTAATTATTGTTAAAAGATCATCAAAAGAAAGATTAGTTAGAGTAGTTATAAACATAAGCTTTAACTATAACTATACATGATCAATTTTAAAATGTAAAAGGTTTTTCTATGATGGTTTGAATTGATTTCTGAGTTGAAAATTAAATTTAGTAAGAGTCATTGGTATGATTTTAATGCTTTAGAAGGCTAGTTAAGGGGAGTGGCTGATTCTTTGAGATGTAAGGTGGGTAAGGTACCTTTCACTTACCTCGTTTTGCCTATTTAAGGAAATTTTGGGAGGAAAGAACTTCGGGAACCAGTGCTAGAATGCTTCCATGTTTAGCTTGCCGCCCTGAAGAATGCAGACTTAATAAGGCTTCAAACTAAGATTTATAAGTTCTTAAAAACTTAAATTTAAATTGTTAATAGAGGTTGATTTTCATATTTATATACTAGACTCACTTATAATTCTTCACTAATGTGGGATTTTGAGGCATTGCATAGAAGGTCTATGAAAGAGAGTGATTTGGGGAAGGAGGCGGATGTTACTTTGTTTAGCTCTTTGAGTATGTCTCGAGTATATAGGGAGGGATTGTGGGTGTTGGAAAGGGGTACGAAAGGAATTGATTTAATGTTAACAAATTGTTTTAAATGGGATGTTGAGTATGGAAGTCCTGTGGATTTTTGGTACGACCAATGAGTGGGAGGTAAATCTTTAAAATTTTTATTTTCGGATTGTTTGTATTAGCTACAGAAAAGAATAGGTTGGTGAAAGATATTGGTGTCTAGCTAGAGCGGTGAGGGATGGCTGTGGACTTTTGGTTGGAGGCGTGTATGGTGAGGACGGAATATGAGGAGGAGCAATTTAGAGAAGTGATCAA